CGGGCATCCAACGCTATACCTACAGGTGCCCATTGGAAACCGGGAGAGGCGCCTGCGGGGTTCAACAGGCTTCCTAAAAGCTGTAGGAATCCCTGATCGATCTCATGGCAAAGTTTCAGCTCAAGAGGCTCCGCAGGACCCCGCAGCCGTGTTTCAAGTCCATGTTCTGAAAGGAATATGCTCCGAAAACCGATTCAATCGGAGTCGCCTGGAAGCTCTGGCCAGAGTGGCAGGGCACGTGGACCCCGTAGTCATTGGACGTCTTGTTGAAGTCCTTGGGCCGAAGCTCTCCTGGTCGGACCTCAGGACGAGTTGCTGCATTGGCAAATGCCGAGTTGCCTTTGCTTGACCCATTGGGGGGCGGGCCTGCCGGGAAATGTCGCGGAGTCTTCTTTATGTTGACCAGTCTGAGGATTGGCCAGCTGGTCGTCATTTGGAAATAACCCGAAATCTGTGGTACCGTTCCTATCCCTGTGTTGTCACTCCACAACGGACTCCCTTGGCCAACGTTGTCTACAATGATGTTTAGCAGCAATTTTCCCTGTGCCGTCTTCAAGCTGATGGATCATCCTTCATTGGCCCAATTCATCGCTCACCCTGGCTTCTTTACTAGGCTCTGATGTCAAACTCTGGGCTGGAGCAGAAAGTGACAAAGGGGCGGCACTACAAAACAAAAACACGCAGGTGTCGTCCGTATTCTCAATGTCACCTGATACAACAGCTTCATTCCAAGTCCTCTTGCACATCACCGAAAGCAAGCGAGAGTGTTTAAGAGGCCAAAGCTGCAAAAGACAGGGCCAAAGAAGCACCATTGAGCTGCTGCCAGGCTGCTGGCCACTGATTGTTGATTAAATCCGCGGCTTGCAGCCCGAGGGTGTCGTAGGGAACTGTGATACCAGCCGCCATGGCCTATTCGACTCACCTGACTATGGCCAGCCAGAAGGGCACGCGGCAGGGTGAGAGTCCCTGAGCGCAGCTGTCTGTGAAATACCCACAGAAGAAACGCAAGCATGGGATGGCACTGGCCCGGACTGATAAACCAGAAGGAACAAAGATGAATCTGCAAAATGAGCATAAACAGCCATAAGTCTTGACAGTTTCTCCTGCAAATCGGGAAGAACAAACACCATGCCAAGCAAACACAAGGTACTTTGTCTCTTGTTCGCAGTTGACCATGGCCCCACTCGGTTCATCGCTCCGCACGCCTCTTGGATGCTGGTGGTGGAAGATTGCATCCGCACCTGGGTGTGCGGTACCCGATTCGCAGGGTGACCCATGGAAGGCAGTCCGCTTTTGGGTTGCTCAAAGGGAAAGCAAATCGACCACCGCCTTCCTTTGATGGGGGGGTCTGCACATGTAGGGACAAGCCGATGAAAGTAATACATCAACTTGAAATGTGGGTCGCAAAACCGCACCCTTTGTGAGGTTGCTACAAGTTGCTGCTATTGAAGATTGTATTTCTATCCTCTTTGCACCGGCTTCATGATACGATTGTCGCTCTGATTTGTTGAATACCAGCACGGATCAAGCAAACCGTTCCATTTTGGTTGCCCCCCAGATGGGGGGAAAGGCCTCGCCTCATCTGAAAAGCAGGTTGAAGTGTTGAAGTCCGCATCTGCTTCACGCTGTATCCCTTCCCAGCTTGGTTGCAACAACCTGGATACTAAGTTCTTAAACCACCTCCGAGCCCTTTGATAACACCAAATGGAGGTAAGCCTTCATTCATGCGGGAGATGCTTGAGGGACCAGCTGTGCTAAAATACCTGATGCCAAGCAGCGCATTGCCCAAACAATGCAGTGCATGGTTTCGGCATCCACAGTGTGCCCATCGCACAAAACAATACAAAGCATATTCACTAACCAAAGGAAGGGAATTCTCAGGTACCCCTCAGGTAGCAAGCCCCCACTCACGAGCCGTTTTGTGTGTCTCCCCAAACTGCGTACCCTGGCAAGGGCCTTACAAGAGGCTTACAAAACTGGTGGAACTTGTGTGGAGGTTGAAGAAGGATCACTCCAACGGCTGACATGCACGTTGCGCTCATCAGACTTAAGAAATGGACCAATCCTCGGGACTGTGCACTCATTCTAGCGAGCCAAATGAAGTATGAGCCCCGCTCTTTTCATTTCCTGACAATGGGTGCCAGAAAGCGGCTCCCTTACCCGTTGAATTCTCGAGGAGCAGCCCGTTCCAAGGTTTTCGACACACAGATTCATCCTGTGTTTGAATTGCTCGGAGTCGTGGCTGAACAAATTGTGATGTAATCTTGCGACCCCTTCAAGCATTTCCCAACCAAGAAGCTGACTCCAAATCAGTCATTTCCAAAAGGTGAAAGAGGAAATCAACCCACCAAGAAGCACTATGTATACACATGTGTATATATATATATACACATATGAGGTGCATATATGTATCTGCATATTTGCATCTATGTCTAGACCTCGGGTGGATCCATCACGATATGCATACATGTATAAATGAACAGAGTATCAGATTCTATGCATAATTCCTGTTGAAGGAGTCCTCCGGTGGATCTCCGCTGGCTATGGCTCCCCTCCCAAGTTCTGCTCCGAGCTGGGCTTGCCGACCCTTTCGGCCTCTGCCGCGGCTTGCCGCACTGACCTCGGTTCGATTCAACGCATCCCAGGGTTGCCTCCAAATGGAGGGCAGGGTCTGCCCTTACCTACTGAAATGAACAGCCTCCCTTGCAAAGGGCTTCTACTAAACCAGGCGGGCTGCCTTTCTATTCCACTGTGGAAAGGTACACCATCGATGGTCTGCCAAAACTCAAGGAAAGTGTTTCTCACGCTGCCGGACATGGCGAGAATGGCTGGTGAGAAGCGCTGGCTTTCTTGACTGCCCATCGACACCGAAACACGGCCGCCGCCCCCAGCTGGGGTAAAACTTCCGTCCTCTTAAAGTATGTCTCAAACACAGCCCGAAACTCTGTCCCTCCAACCAAGAAACACCCATATCCGACAATATTATACAAAATACATATCTTCATATATATATATATATATATGTGTATAAATATATATATATATATAATATACACATATACATATACATATATATATATATATTCATATACAATGAATAATCATGAAGAACCCCAAGCTTCAAACACCACCCTGGCATGCCCGGTGAATCCTGCCCTTCAAACCACAACAGCCCCTGCCACTGGAGCACTGGAGCACTGGGGCTGGGGCATCTCTTCGGCGTGTTGCCGCTGGAAGTCCTCCCAGATCCGCAATTTTGTCAGCCCAAAGGACTCAGAAGCAAAAGGCTGGCCTTCAGAGGCCATCAAAAAATGGAAAGCTGAGAGAACCTTTGGACTGAGAACCAGCATAGCGGATGTCATAAATTGGACAGAATTCTGCGTGGGTGGGTGGGTGGGTGCTTCCCTGCAAATCAGCGGAAGACATGCGCTACAAGAAATGAGGGTTGTCCAGCTTCCATGTTTGCCTGCAAAAGAAATAGATGTCGCAAATTCTACAGTGAACAACATCAACGGGTTGTTTGGTTGGTCAAATCATAAGCAATGAGCGACACTGAACACTGCCCCACACGGATTCGCCCAGCTTCCATCCAATTTCCATGCTGACATATTGATACTCAAATTTAACCCTCGTCTGCTTGGGGGGTTACTGTCCGATTGGTACGGAACATGAACACCACCGCGTGCCCTGTCCATAGTTCCCATTGCGAAATGAGCACGAAAGGGATTCCTATGACAACCATGACAACCCAAGGAACGAATTGAGGATTCCAGCAAAGGAAATCAGAACAGGCCAACGTTTGCTGTCAGTTTCAATGATTCCCAGCTTTAGCCAATGCACACAGATGCAAAAGGGGACCAGTTGGAAGGCCTGTCTGAATTTGACAAAACAAACCCGGCAAACAAAGCCACAATGTCCGTCCACAGTGACAAGCCGTGCCACTTTCAACTTGTCGCCAGTTCGCAAGCCTTGTTGCGCGTTCACCACTTGCATACCTGCATGAACTCTATACCCAGGGAACAAGTCGATATCTGTTCTGCTCGTTGAGCACTTGGGGTCAGCTGCACCGGCCGTGACCTTTCGGGGAGAAGGATCCTCCGCCACAAGAAGCCCAGCACTGACGTCAGGGTGGATGCCCCGCTTGGGACGACGTGACTTTCTCACGCTGCGTGAGAGCCGCTGACTCAGTGGTCAATTCAACAGGGGTATCTCGCTGCGGTATCCCACACCACCTGACTCACTTGCGAGGAGAAGTCCTAAGGCTTCGTCTCATGGACACATTATCCTTCTCAGCCAATAGCTTTGAAGCAATGCAACTGTCATGGTCGTCCTTCCGATATGTGCACAAGAAAGAACTATGTAAAATATAAACATACAGTATATTTGTATATACTATCTATATATACAAATATGTTATTATACATATATATATATATATGTATTATATACATATAGATATTATACTATATATATATATATATATATATGTATACTATATATATATTACATATATGTATATACACATATATAATATACGTCATGAGTTGGGGCCGGTGCAGGTCACCCACACGCTGGAAGCTCCTCCAGAGTACAGCGCATCGCCTCCAGCTCGAGTCGCATGGAGGCCTGACGCGCTTCAAAAGGCGGGCAGTGGCTTTGGGCCGAGGGGGCATATAATATGGCCATGGGTCAAAATCCAAATCGTACCCCCGGTGAACATCCGATTCAATCCAACCACTTTAAAATAGGTTCTAAATTGGTGGTGAATTCACCTACCAACCAAAATGGTACCATTGGTTTTGACCCACAGCCATGTGCAGGGTGGGTTTGGGGGGGCCTTTGGAAGGGGGAGGCATTTTCAGGGATTGTACACTCACACACAACACACACACACACAGAGACACACACACACACATAGAGACACACACACACACAGCCACCGCCACCAACGCGTGGCACATTCGTCCGAAACAATCACTCCCCTCCATCTGCCGTGCCTCTGCCTGCGCCACCGACTCAGAAATCTCCCGCGCCCGTGCAGTGGCATCCTGCGACGCACGGCAAGGCCCCAAGACGCTTTCTCGGTGGAGTGTGGGACGGCCTCAAATGGGTCAACTCACCCTCTCTTTTCCCTTTCTGGTTCAAGCCAAGTTAGGGTTGTTTTTTTTGGAAGAACCATGGTGGGGTAATTAAATAGTTAGGTTATTTGTTAGGCTCCCTTTTCTCGCAAAGAGGCCATGGTCTGAAACCTCTTCACAGGGCACCGTCCCTCGAACTCCACCAAAGAAATCGACCAAAGATCGGTGATGTGTTTTCCTTCTTGGGCGAGGGGCCCTGCAGTAGCAATGCCCTTTGGCTAACTCTCCTGCTGGCCGGTCTCGAAGTCTCGGATGCGGCTCACAGCGCGATCCAACGCGGCAGCACCTGAGCTTCCAACTGACTTGACCCTGCGAAAAAAAGTCGTCTGTCCAATTTGTTGCTTGGCGCGGAAAACAACAAAATTGTCCCACAGGGAGGGTCTCCCTGAAGAAGGGGCCCTTTATCTTGAACGTGGCTTCCCGTGGGCTCCCACCATGCAAAGGACAGCCTCAGAAAAGGAGCACACCCAACGGGAAAAGGGCCCAAGAGCTGAGGTCGAATTCGCCAAACCAACTTGTCGGGTGCGGGTGAACCAGCGCGAAACGCAGTTGGCTCCTTCGGGGGAAACACCAAAAAAAACAACCCCTTCAAAGTCGAAGCCCATGGTTTCAAATTTGCAACCACTGTTTTCAGTACTTATCATACCAACAATACCAAGTCTGTTCGGTCGTGTATTGGCAATGAAGATATGCAACCGGCTGTTGCAGCCTGACTCCAGGCAATTCACACTCATGGGAAGCAAAGCGTGGCAACCTTCGTTTCGGAAT